GAAGAAAGAAAAAAAAGCAAAATGAGAAAAAAAACTTCTGCCAGCCAAAGAATTATTTTCCAATCTATTTGGATTGGAAAAGCTCTCTAGGACTGTAATCCATGTTAAGTAGGGGAGGAAGTGAGACATCCAGGGACCTGCTGTAGTTCTACTCCATTCTTACATTACAGGCTGGGACTGCACTAATGCTGGCCCTCACCTTACCCTTTCTTAACAAGTAGAACTAGTGAGTGGTGCTTTGCTTTGTTCTGTTTTGGCCTCAGTATTAAATTTATTCAAAAAAATATTATGAGTTTGTCATTTCCATTTGTGTACCTGGAGCCACTGCTAGCCAGAACTATATTCAAATAGTCAGCGTCCCACTCAGTCCTCTATCCACACACAAGAAGGCATGACCCACGTCCAAGCAGAAATATATCCCCGAATATGTCAAATAGCAGAGAAAGCTAAAAGTCCATGAGTTCTGTGTTATATGGGATAGACTGGGTAACCAAGCACTACACTGGCTTCGATCCTGACAATTTTAGACTATGCCACCCAAACAAGCCACACCCAGTGGGTGTATCTCTTCTGCAGGAGGACAGGGCTCCTGACCATGGTGTTCCCCACAGTTCTGGTTTCCTACTGCTTATACTTAGAAGGTCAGAAACTAATCATTCCCCTCTTCAGTATTCTCTTGTTAACTTCCATCCAGTCATTGCAACAGGGTGATTCTAGGGACCCTGAAGTGTGGCTGGCTGTTCAGGAGTAGCTCAGTCCCAAACAGTAAAATTACTCTCAAGATGGCAACTGGTTCATTCAGCAAGAGCTATGGTGAATGCTACAGCTGTTTCTTTTCCAAAGCTAGCTTAACATCCAGTAGGACTTACATTTGGACTCTCTCTCCACACTGGATTTACAGCTTTGCCATGATTTCAATCTAAAATGTCTACCAAATGTTGTGTGTGAAAGGGGACTGGACCACGAGGTCTATGCGCACCAGAGGCTTCATCCATTGGTGGGCTCAGAAGCTTAATGTGCTGGTAGGAGAGGGGATGTGATTGGAGGTGAGTCACGGGACGCTGACCTGGAAGGGTGTGGTATTGTTCTGGGTTCCTCTCTTGTCTCTTTATTTCCTAGCTGCCATGAAGGAAGCAGATATCCTTCACTACACCTCCTACCATGCCGTAAAGCCAGTCTATTATGGACTAACCTCACTGGAGACTGTGAACCAAAGTAAACCTCTCCTTTAAATTGCTGGTGATGGACATTTGGCCCCAGTGATGGGATAAAGACTAATACAGCTTACAGTAGGCATGTGTTTCCCTTGTGACTAGGAATATACTAGCCTATTGCTTATTACTGAAGTGACCAGACTTCTCTTGGCTTACTTTGAGGCTGCATAATAAAGTTTTTCTCTCTCCAGGGAGCTGCAGTTGGCACTAAAGAATAGTTCGTATTTTTCTCTGCATTGTCTTTCTGCTTCTCTGTGCTTTTTAACTTTTCTGTTACCTTGTGATTCCCAGAGCCCTTCCCCTCATCCTCTTCTCAGAATATTATTTCTCCTTTATACCTCTAAATTCTTCTCCACCAGAGTCATTAAGATGTATTTCTATTCTATCTTCTCATCTGAAAGCCTTAAAATTAGTCTTTTTAGTTGCTATGAAATATAATCAAACTAGTTAAGCGATAAGAAGCTGTCATGAAACTTTCACACACAGTATGAATTAATAGTAGGGGTTGGATGATTGTGAATCTGATGCTCTAAGGAGTAAGTGTCCATCACATTCTTTTGATGCTGAGCAGCCATGCTGCAAATCCATCCAACAGAAGTATGCCTATACCCACACATGTATTCATGCGTGTGCACAAGGATTTGAGCAGACTGAAAAAGACCTCCCAATTTTTAAAAATTCATAATATGTTTTAATAAATCTAGGTCTTTTCAGGTAGTAATGAGTAGTAGTGTGTATATAATTATGTAGAAATAATTTGTGAGGATATGGTATGTAGATGTCTGATATCTGAAAATTTAAAAATTGAAAATCCTATAGTCACATTCATAAATTTTGATTCTAGTACATCTAAGCATCTGTACTATTTTTATTCTCTAACATTATCCAGGCCATACCCCAGTGGAATGATAATGGGCATTCTAGAGAAATTAAAAAAAAGGAAAAATATGATTGTACAAAATGATGCCTTAGAAAAATTTCTTTCTGACAAGGTGATCATTGCACAAAACATGGAAAAACCGAGGCAGTTACTTCCAAAAATGTACAGAAGAGGCCCACTCCAAGAGCATAAACACAAAGACATGCATCCAGAGAGGGGAGTGTGTGGGTGGCAAAGCTGAGGAATATCAAGGCAATCAGTACAACTAGAAAAGGCTGAGTATACATGAAAATGGTAGAAAAAATCATACAGGCAGCAGGATATCAAGCATAGGATTGACTACCAAAACAACTTTGACATAACCAAAAATCAAAGTTACTGAAATGAAACTAAAAGAAAAGCTACTAAATGAAAAGTTATTAGATGCTTCAAAGGGACATTGATGAGGAGGGATTAAATATGAGTCATGGTAAAGTCAGTAAAAGATCATAGAGTCAATGAATTATGATCAAAATATAGCTGCAGATTTGTTGGAAATGGGGACACACACATCAGAGCAAATCAGATGAAAAGATAGGAGGTGATATATTTTTTCTGTATATGGATCTGCTATAGGCTTTTGTGGTATAAAGTAGGATTTTATCACAATTATCACAAATTTCCTCAGTCTTGGAGAGGGAAATTGCGTACATGTCATCTTGTAGATAGTAAGATTGTTGACGTTACTCTACAGTTCTTATTTAATGTCTAAACAAGTGTTGGCTGAAATAGGACCATGAGTTTACTCAGGAAAGACATTTCAAAACTCGGTAGTGTCCCAAATTTTCTGATCAAGGAGATTATGGGCCAAAGAGGAAAGTGATCAATGATGTAGAGTGGGTCTAAGGAGAGTCACATGGAGAGAAAACATTCTCTCAGGCTTTCACAGAGAGCACATTGACCAAGCAATGGCCATGACTCATCCACATAACTGACACTGACAAAGGTTCTACAATCTGAGGTACAAGATCTCAGGATAAATCCTGAGGAGATTTCACTGACCTTATCAGACCCAAAAGCTACAACTCTTGTTGCATAGATCCTGTTTTACTTTGGTCTTAACCATCCAGCAGAAAAGTATAAAAATGTAATATAAGAAGTAAAGCCATGCTGTTATGTTGAGCTGTAAGGGACTCAGGTCAACAATTTCTGACATTGCCAGTGAAGTGGAAGACCCAATACTATTATGGACTATTTGACTCTTTTAGAATATTTTGCTGAGTTTACACACCTTTAATATTCAAATAATGGAACTTAACAAAAAAGGGGATACAGATGAATGTCTATTTTGTATCTGTGTATTCAAGGTGTTTGGGATAGATATATAGTTACATTCTCTTAATGAATAGAGGGGTTTGTTCTAATGGTGTTTGTAAATAGGATACCATGTCTGCATCTTGTACAGCAATTAACCACTAGGAAGAATGTATGCAATGTGTTAATTACTGAAACTGTCCTACCAATTTGGTTTTAAACTGTCTCATTGCTATTTGTTTCTCAATATAATTATGGAAAAAATTTAAAAATTAAAAAATAAAGATGTTAAAAAAAACCAACTAAAAGCCAAAAGACTAGAGCAGTCAGCTGTATGGACACTGACTTCATGAACAATAGTGTAGGGTGCTGTCGGAGGGAGTCACAGAGAGACCACAGCAAAGATCTTTACACCATGGAGTGTGACTCAAGCTCCTGGAGACACCAAGAACCGAGAGGGTGAAAGACAGCAGGATCCTATCATATGAGCTTTGAAATTGGGTCCTTTGAGGAATAAGGAGAAGCAAAGATGTAGAAATAACTTAGCTCCAGAGATAGCACAGAGTGCATCTGCAGGCTCCATAACACGGGATGCAGACGGAAAAGATACTGCAAGTTTTAAAGAATGCAAGGGGAGTAAATGTCTTTGACAGAGATCCAGTCTATAGTTAAAGCAAGGTGAAAGGAAGTTTCTGAATTAATTCCCACAGGTATGACTACATATTTGTGTGACATCTTACATTTTCACAACCATTGCTGAATAAAGTCTGCCTTGCAGCAAATACAATTGATTTGCCTTGCAGTTGACATGAAACCCAAATGAAGCACTTTAATACCTTGTAATATCTTCAATATCTTGTAACATCTATACAGCTAAGCTTCTGATTTATGAATTCATCATATCTTCTGCAATGTCTGTCTCACTCCCAAAACCATTTTTGTTTATTTTTCAGGTCTCTACAAACACACATGTTGCCACTTAATGTTTGGGTCTGGTTCCTGCCAGTGTATTGTACCCTTGGTCTAGGCTGGCACAGATCCTACTCATCCCATAAGCTGAGTGCCTGTGAGCAAGACATGTGAACATTTTTACTCCTGGTTGCCTTGCTTTCTCTTTTAATATTGCTAATCTTATTCAAAAGGCCCAGATTAATCATTCAGTTGTTTTATATGGGATCTTTTCATGGTGTTTTGTATATTAGTCTTTGAACGTTTTTAAGATTAATTTGTATTTTTGAAAGCAAGATTGCTTTAAAATATTATTTGTTTCAACTGCTGTCTCTTTTTTTGCCCCCTCTTAAGTTTTACATGTGAGATGATTGTCTCACTGGGTCTAGTGGGTATAGGATTTAGATTGAAATGACTGAGTTGATGTCTAGAGGTTTGAGAAGTTAGTGGAGAAACTGAATCAACATAAAGTCCAGGTAAGGTTATACATTTTGCCTAAAATTAAAGGATTGGAAGGTAAAGGTTAGAAAAAAAAAAGTTTTCAGGAAGAGTTTGCAATCAGGTTAATTTTTATGCTATCATCTTCCTTTAGCAAGTAGATGTGGTTACTATCATAATATAGTTTCCAATGAAAAACACGAAGTGAAAATATATTTGGTACTCACTCAAAAAGAAATGTTCCAATTCGTGGTTTAAAACTTGTAGAATTTAAAAAAAGTCCTATAGAGGCCACAGTAAACATTCCCGACAGTCTCACAAATTCACCTGTTTTTTGTAAAAGAAAAAAAAGAGTATTACCACAGGTGTGCCAATGTGAAGGCTGCCTCACTAGATTCCACCTGGAAAACATTGCCGATTATCACACCGAGATGGACCTGCCTTCGGCGCAGATTCACACCCGTCTGTGTCGAAGCCTACAGTGAACATACTTGCCCTGCTTTCCCTTCAGGGAATGAGCAGCACACAGGGGTCACAAATCTTGTCATCTCCTCAAGAGGCAAGTGAACCAGATCTGTTTCCTTTTGAGGTACTCAGGAGGGCTGAAGTGGAACGGACCTGATCAGCGCTTTCTGAACTGGTCCATTGCGTGTAGCTTCTTCTTAAGAGACAGCAGAAGATAAAAACTGTCTGTGATTTTTTTTAAAGGGATCTGGGCCACCAGACATCAAATATAGATCTATGTATTCAGCACAGTTTTGGGGGATGCTTTTATGATGGAAGATGGAAAAATATTAAAAAACTGCAGTATTTTCTATAAAAAGTACTTATATTAGGGTTCTTTCTTCTGTGACCTCAGCAAAATAACATTTATGCCTGAAAATTCAGATAATATGGTAAAATACAGACAAAGGTTTTGAAAGAGAGAGCATCTACTATTTCACTTCCCAAACTTCAGGTCTGCTTTTTGTTTGTTTGTTTGTTTGTTTTAAGATAATTTTTTTACTGGTGGGTATAGGATTTAGATTGAAATTACTGAGTTGATGTCTAAAGATTTGAGAAGTTAGTGGAG